GATATGATTTTGAAAACGTCAGTCACTGACAAAAGCTAGTGGATACTAGCTGAAACGTCTGACGTTTTCAAAATCATATCCAGTTGCTTGAGTAACTGCTTTTTGGCATGAAGACTTACCGCTGCATATCGGTGCAGATTTCCTGCCTTGACTGAGTTGAAGATGAAAGCATTTGAGCGGCGATAGCAGCAGACATTGTTCCCTCCTGTAAATACAAACAAGTAAGTATTAAATAATTAAAAAACAAATAGAGATCACAGTAAATGAGCAATTTGGGTTCAAGCTAAATTCTACTACAAAACTAATAGATTCATACAAGCAGGGCTCAAAAGACTTCTTTCTGCATATCAACTTCAATGGTGCAGGTAACATTGAAAATCACCAGTGCACCAGACAAATTTTATCTTCACCACTCAGAATTTGTACTTTCAATACCATCTATAGAAATTTGTACCTTAAGCCACACCAAAAAAATTTGTTGGTTCTCTGATTCTCCAGATTCAGGCCCTGAATCAACTCCAAAATGCTCATATTTTGAGCAGAACAGTTGAAGGAAGTCCCTTCTCTTCAGAGTTGTTACAGTTTTTCCATCTATCGAATGCAGTGTTTGAAATTCACTTTTAAATTAGTTTCAATTACATACCAGCCCAGTATGTTGACTTCATGACTCTTATCATAGCAATAGAATGACACATAATTTAGGTTTAACAATTTTTCTCACCATCAACAAATCCTGAGTTGTCTCTTTGCTCAAAACAGATCCGCTTGTCGCCCTCGGAGTTTGTGAGTTGGCGGAACCGGAGATCCAAGTCTGCGTGGGTTCGGGTCAAAGGGCAGGAGATCACACTAGAGTAGATGGAAGGATCTGGCTCTCTCTGGTAGTGGGAGGGGGGATAGAAAATAGATTCAGTAACAGTTACTTCTGTCATGTTTAAACATCACCACCCCAATACCAGTGCTTTACAGTGGGACCACGTTACAGGTAACAAGTTTAATGATAAAGAATGATAATAACAGCTGCAATAATGATAAACAATAATACTAGGGATATTTTTCTTTATGTTCTGAAGGAGAAACATGCTGCAAGTGTTGAAGGTACAAGTAGTTAAGCCAATTATCAAAAGAGCCAATCAGCATGAAGGACACAATCTGCCATGCATAGTATTTTACCATCATACCGAATTTCAGGTCATTTGGTCAGAAAATGAAGAAATTGAATCCATTTAACAAAATGGCAGGAGGGGAAGGAGAAGAAACATATTAAGTAATTCTTACTTAAACATACATTATATATGGTGACCATGCAGCCCCTCTTGCATCATTATGCAACCCAACACAAGTTACCATAGTGACAGACGTCTGGTCCTGGTCATTGACCTTATTTGTTTGAAGAAGAAGAAGAAGAGGAAGAAGAAGAAACAGAGCAAAAACAATATTTTTTCCTTCTGGGAAACATAAATAATTTTAAAGCAATTATGTACATCGGATACCTTTGGTATGGGCTGAAATAACAAATGGTTAAACAAACACTGACCTTGTACCAGTCAGCACACCAGAGCCGTGGGTTGACCCAGTCTGCAGGGTTGTCGTCCACCTGAACCACCCTGATGCCTGTCTGGTTAGTGGTGGGGGAGACTCTCTCATCCATACAGTACACGTTAGGACCTGAGCAGTCTTTGGTACCATTGGCAAACACAGTCTTAGTCCTGCAATGGTTAAAAACGTGTTTTAACAGAAAGGGAATATTACAATCACTTTGTTTACATCGGATTCCATACAGTCCATTTTCATGTACACATAAGGCACTGTGCAGTCTGTGGTACAATTATGATACAGTCTTAGCCCCAAATGGTTAAAAAGACATTTCTTTGCAATGTCATTATAGCTGCAATCCATGTGTAAATAATTGGACCCTGAGGATTCTCTTGTCACAGCTAGAAATTCTGGTATTTCTTCTGCAATGGTTTAAAAAGGACCTGTCCTTGGTGCTGAAAACCGTGAGAAGTCTGCAATTTTCCTTATGTATGTACTATGTAATCTACAAATGAATGAATTGATGGATGGATGGATGGATGGATGGAAGGAAGGATGGATGGATGGATGGGATAAATGGATGGGTGTGTGGATGGATGGAAGGATAGATGAATGGATGGATGGATGGATGGATGGATGGAAGGATGGATGGATGGATGGATGGATTGGATAAATGGATGGGTGTGTGGGTGTGTGGATGGATGGATGAATGAATGAATGAATGAATGAATGAATGAATGACCTTTATTTTGACTGGATAGCACTGTAGGCCTCAAGGTATGAAATCTTCCAAAACTTTAATCTAAAATTTAAGCTATAACAAAACAAAACAAGACAACAAACAGACAAACAAATAAACAAACAAACCTGGAGCCTTCTGCCTCATCCACCAAAACCCCTCCGGTGGGATCCTTGGTGATCATACCCACGAAGGCAGGCCATTTTCCGCCCACCAGGTTACCGGGGGTGATCTGAGGGTCCCACCTCATCCCACCGTCAGCGTAGTACGTACCCAGGTACGTGTGGACGTTATCTGTCACCAGCGCGGCTTGGAACGTGTTGGTCTGGGAGAGATGTTCAAATTACCTTCAGTTATGGCTCACCTGTTTTGTAGCTTAGACTGAGGATACTTGACTGAAGTACATTTTTACAACTGTTATAAGTCAGAAAATGTTGACAGAACATACTTTGCCTTTGTGAAACTCATAAGGTATTAGCATAGCATTTTGACAAACATGTCATTTTTAGGAGTTTGCTCAATGTGTGAAACCCATAATGTATGGTGTATAGCACTTGACAAATCTTATTTTTTAAGGAGTTTGCTCTATGCAGGTGACCTATCTGAGGCTGCAAATTATGAAAAAATGTGTATCGAGGCCTTCTAAAGACTGTCTTGAACACTTAAATATTGAAAGTGTGCATACCTCATGTATTACTGAATGCAGGGTTAGATGTAATATTCAAAAATAAATCATGACCTATTAATAAATCTAGTACATGCAAATAGTTATGATTCAGTAGAGTTAGTTTAGTATTATATAAACATATAATCTGAGATAAAGGCTTGAAAGAAAGGAGAGTAGCTGGCAAAATATACAAAAAAATGTATATTACATGTACCTGAAGCCTGGCATGCAAATTGTAGGTTCCATTTGATGCCTTTGGAACAGTAGGAAAAACCCATGCCAGTGAGAAACAGAACAGATGTAGAAAATTGAACAGATTTTAATATCAAAATGAAGAATGTTCCCTTAGCACATTATTCAAGATCAAGATTGAAGAGTAGAGAAAACATGCAATTCAGTGTGGCAAATTCAAGGAAGAAAGGAAAATTGAGTTATTTAGAAACTTAAATTGTTAATTTTCAAACCTTCACATCATCCAGAGATTCTCCCATTGCCCGCTTGGTTAGGACAGATGAAAGAAAAGGTGAACGTTATATTTCACTTAATGACAACATGACCTACATTGTAAGGGCAATGTTGAAACACAGACACACAAACGGACACACACACACGGGCACACACACATGCGTACACACATACACCCACATGCACGCGTGTGCGTGCACACTCATACACACGCACACACACACACACGTACACACACACACACACACACACACACAAGTGTACATGCATGTACACACACGCACACAAACACAATTGTGCGCACACACACACGTACATGTACACATCCTAACAAAGCAAAACACACAGAAACACAAACACACACACAAACACACACGTACATACACTGCCACACTCACGTAGACATACACACGCACAGAAACACAAAGACACACACACACACAGACATACCCAAAACAGTACCTCCATTTTTCGTGGAGGTAATAACAGTGAGTCCCTGGTCAGTACCTTTAGGTTGATGTTATTTCTGGCGACCTCTCCTGCCATGGCCATGTTCTCCCAGGTCACTATCAGGACAAACGTAGGCTGGAAGTTCTCCACTCTGAAGTGTTTCTCTACATTTTCTGCCGCCACGCTGAAAACCTCATCATAGTTTGGGGTGCCTGGGGTGTATGGGTAGTACCAGACCTGGGGAAAGTTTTAAATTAGATATTATGTTACATTCGACTTCATGTTATTCATGATTTGACGTCAGGACAAACTCTGTGATTTCTGTAACGTAAAGTTAATATATATGTATTGATCTTCTTTTATTACTAGTACTTACAACTATTAATTTTTATGATTTGAACTTATTGTTTTAAGGTTTATTAATTTCAGCTAACTTTTGTTTTTAATTATCTGCACTCACACTCAACGCTTATCAGAAATAACAATGAGGCGAGGTGGGCTTGGTACGTTTAATGTTTTAAAAAACATGAGAATCCACGGGTGGGGGGTGGGAGAAAATTCAGATGAACTCGAGTAGGTGAGCTCCCACTACCCCGCTACGCTACATGTGATGACAATAGACAGATGACCTCTGGGTCAAGTGAGGTCGGGGGTCGTATTCCGTGCATCTAATTAATTTCTTTGATCTGTCGCCCAAATAACTACAATTATCTGCACTCACACTCAACGCTTATCAGAAATAACAATGAGGCGAGGTGGGCTTGGTACGTTTAATGTTTTAAAAAACATGAGAATCCACCAAGACCAAGCCCGGAGGGAAGGAGAGAGGCGATGAGGGGAGAGTGCAGCAACTGTAGTAGAGGGGCGTAGCTAGTAAAATACTACTGGGACTGTACGAAAGTGATACAAAAGTGATACAAAAGCGATACAAAAGCGATATAAAAGTGATACAAAAGTGATACAAAAGTCTGGAAAGCGAGTCCTGTGAGGTTTGTAGGCTGGAAGCGGTGCCCAGGTCTCCTGGCGCAGGTGCTGGTCTGACAGTCAATGTACTCAGTCAGGAGGGGCGTGTGAGGACGCGATGTTAGGAAACATGTGAAACGCGAACCAGAGTCGGAGCAATACTAGAGTCTGAGCAAGAATAACGCGGAAACGGCGGTTGAGCCGGGATGACCGGCGGCTGAGCCGGGCTGGTGCGAGTTCGGCGGTTGAGCCGAGGTGACACGAACCGGGCGGTTGAGTCGAGATGATACTAAGCCTTCGTCTGGACCGGGCTGGTACGAGGTTGGCGGTTGAACCGAGATCCCCGAGATGACACGAGTTTGGCGTTGGAGCCGAGATGACACAAGTTTGGCAGTTGAGCCGAGGTGACACAGGTGTGGCGTTTGAGCCGAGATGACGCGAGTTTGGCGTTGGAGCCAAGATGACACAAGTTTGGCAGTTGAGCCGAGGTGACACGAGTTTGGCGTTTGAGCCGAGATGACGCGAGTTTTGGCAGTTGAGCCGAGATGGCACAGTTTGGCGTTTGAGCCGAGATGACACAGTTTTTTGGCGTTTGAGCCGAGATGACACAGTTTTGGCATTTGAGCCGAGATGACACAGTTTTGGCGTTTGAGCCGAGGTGACACAGTTTTGGTGTTTGAGCCGAGATGACACAGTTTTGGTGTTTGAGATGACACAGTTTTGGCGTTTGAGCCGAGATGACACAGTTTTGGCGTTTGAGCCGAGATGACAAGCGTTTGGCGGTTGGGCCGAGTTTGGCGGTTCGGCCGAGACGACACGAGTTTGGCAGTTGAGCCGAGATGACACAGTTTTGGCGCTTGATCCGAGATAACACGAGTTTTGGCGTTTGAATTCGAACCGAGACGACACGAGTTTGGCGTTGGAGCCGAGATGACACGAGTCTGGCAGTCGAACTGAGATGACACAGTTTTGGCGTTTGCGCCGATATGACGTGAGTTTGGCAGTTGAGCCGAGGTGACACGAGTTTGGCAGTTGAGCCGAGACGACACAGTTACGGCGTTTGAGCCGAGATGACGCGAGTTTGGCAGTTGAGCCGAGATGACGCGAGTTTGACAGTTGAGCCGAGATGACGGGAGTTGGGCAGTTGAGCCGAGACGACACAGTTACGGCGTTTGAGCCGAGATGACGCGAGTTTGGCAGGTGAGCCGATATGACGCGAGTTTGGCAATTGAGCCGAGGTGACACGAGTTTGGTGGTTGAGCCGAGACGACACAGTTACGGCGTTTGAGCCGAGATGACGCGAGTTTTGGCAGTTGAGCCGAGATGACGCGAGTTTGGCAATTGAGCCGAGATAACGCGAGTTTGGCAGTTGAGCCGAGACGACACAGTTACGGCGTTTGAGCCGAGATGACGCGAGTTTGGCAGTTGAGCCGATATGACGCGAGTTTGGCAGGTGAGCCGATATGACGCGAGTTTGGCAATTGAGCCGAGGTGACACGAGTTTGGTGGTTGAGCCGAGACGACACAGTTACGGCGTTTGAGCCGAGATGACGCGAGTTTGGCAGTTGAGCCGAGATGACGCGAGTTTGGCAATTGAGCCGAGGTGACACGAGTTTGGTGGTTGAGCCGAGACGACACAGTTACGGCGTTTGAGCCGAGATGACGCGAGTTTGGCAGTTGAGCCGAGATGACGCGAGTTTGGCAGTTGAGCCGATATGACGCGAGTTTGGCAGTTGAGCCGAGACGACACAGTTACGGCGTTTGAGCCGAGGTGACACGAGTTTGGCAGTTGAGCCGAGACGACACAGTTACGGCGTTTGAGCCAAGATGACGCGAGTTTTGGCAGTTGAGCCGATATGACACGAGGTTGCCAGTGGAGCCGAGGTGACACGAGTTTGGCAGTTGAGCCGAGAAGACCCGAGTTTTGGCGTTTGAGCCGAGATGACACGAGTTCGGCAGTCGAATAAGATGACACAGTTTCGACGTTTGAGCCGAGATGACACAAGGTCGGCGGTTGAGCCGAGACGACACGAGTTTGGCGGTTGAGCCAAGATGACGCGAGTTTGGTAGTTGCGCAGAGATGACACGAGTTTGGCAGTTGAGCCGAGACGACACGAGTTTGGCGGTTGAGCCGAGATGACACGAGTCTGGCAGTCGAACCGAGAGGACAGAGTTTGGACGTTTGAGCCGAGATGACACAAGGTCGGCGGTGAAGCCGAGACGACACGAGTTTGGCAGTTGAGCCGAGATGTCACGGGTTTGGCAGTTGAGCCGAGATGTCACGAGTTTGGCAGTTGAGCCGAGATGTCACGAGTTTGGCAGTTGAGCCGAGATGTCACGAGTTTGGCAGTTGAGCTGAGATGTCACGAGTTTGGCAGGTGAGCCGAGATGACGCGAGTTTTGGCAGGTGATCCGAGATGACGCGAGTTTTGGCAGGTGAGCCGAGATGACGCGAGTTTTGGCAGGTGAGCCGAGATGACGCAAGGTCGGCGGTTGAGCCGAGATGACACGAGTTGGGCGGTTGAGCCGAGAGGACACGAGTTTGGTGGTTGAGCCGATACGATACTAACCAGCGGTTGGGCGATATAAGACTCGCCGGCGGTTGGACCGGGAGGACACAGGGTGGCGTAAAGCAGCCGAAGAACGCGAAGCTGGCACACCGGACCAGGCTGACACGAGGGTGGCGTAGGAGCCGAATTACACGAAGCTGGCACACCGGACCAGGCTGACACGAGGGTGGCGTAGGAGCCGGACTACACGAAGCTGGCACACCAGACCAGGCTGACACGAATTACACGAAGCTGGCATGCTGTGCCGGGCGGACACGAGGGCAGTGTTTGAGCGGAATACTAGAACTAGTAACACGAAGCCTGCACACTGCTGGAATGGGCTGACGTTTGAGCCGAATAACGTTCAACACGAAGCCGGAACACGGGACCGGGTTGACACGAGGGCGGCGTACGAGGCGAATAACACAAAGCTGGCACGATGGACGAGGATGACATGAGTGTGGCGTTGGAGCCGAATGGTTTACCCATCTGAGGCTGATTAACATGCAGTCGGCACGCTGGGCTGACACAAGCGTTGCGTTGGAGCCGGAATGACACAAGCCGGCGGCTGAGCCGGGCTGGTACGAGTTCAGGGTCAGAGCCGGAAGAACGCGAAAGTCACTTAGACAAGCACGTAAACAAAAAGTCACGTAAACAAGAGGCAGGAAGCATCAAACCGTTGCCAGGGCGACCGCCCGTCTGGCTGCCTGCCTTGCTCTGAAGCAGAACGCTAACGAGGAACAGGGCTACGTTCAGTACAACTGATCACGCTCTCCGCGCGTGATCGAGCCGGGACGTGTGGGTGGTCCGCCGGCGTGGTGCGACATCTGGACATATGGCGAGGGGGATAATTTGTTTGTAGCAGAGTGCACCAAACTTGATCGAACTATTGAAACCTATGTATTTCGTGTGGCATAATCCGTTGCGACATTTGAAAATTCAGATGAACTCGAGTAGGTGAGCTCCCACTACCCCGCTACGCTACATGTGATGACAATAGACGGATGACCTCTGGGTCAAGTGAGGTCGTATTCCGTGCATCTAATTAATTTCTTTGATCTGTCGCCCAAATAACTACTATTATTTTATTTTATATATTATTTATTATTTATAATCATATTATGTTGTCATATTGTGGTATTAATGATTTTTATGTTCGTTTTCTCCCCGAGATGAAAATCATTAGGCTGGTAAAATAAATTGAAATTGTAAGTTAAAGCCAAATTTGCATTTCTTGAAAATATGGTTCTTGAAAATTCTGAAGCAATAATCTAGCAAAAAAGTCGTAGAGGGTAAACCTACCTTAGAAGGGTACCCTCTCCCCATGGCACTGTCTGCCCAGAATGGTGCGAACACAGCCAGGAGAGGACCGTCAAAAGCTGCCTGGGAAACAGTCGGATGACGGAAAATCTTCTTGGCTGCTCTGTCACGGCGAGACGTGAGGCTGGTGGCCACGATCACGCCATCTTCTAAAACCTACGCCAAACAAACAGGCTGAATAAAAGTTCTAAACGGGAACTATATATATGTGGCTCCAGATGTCTTACTGAGGGACGACTGTGTGTGCAAGATGGTTAGCTTGAGGATTGAATCCCCTCTACTATATACTACATCAAACAAACAATTAGAACCAAATTTTTCCCCAGATGATATATAGAACACGGGAACTTTTTTGCAAATTCTATGAAAAAGACGAACAAACGAAAACTAATCTTGCTACCAATAGTTTAAATATGCTATCGGTAATTCTAATTCACTTACTAGGCTTATTATTATAATAATAATCATGGTCTATGTTTTTTTCATTATAGCAAAAAATTATCTGAATTTTGTACGTCAACGAAGGTTAGACATCCAGGTATTGACAGAGAAATACACAAGGAAATGTTAATGATTCAGAAGCAACTGACTAACTGTCAGACATTTCAAGTACCAATTTGTAGTTGAACATGGCTACCTTTGGATAAATACCTGGTCAATTACACATTCTCTTAGTCATGACTAACAGAACTATACTTGAATCATCTGACATTTTTCAAAACTTATATCAGCTGCTTGAGTAACGATTCCTTGTGGATCTGAATTTTTTTTTTATGCGTGAACCGTACATAGATGGAATTTGCGAGTTGCTGTCCTCTGATTGGCAGTCCGTTGGGAACAGGTATAAGCGGAGAAACTCCGCCCCAGCGAGCGTGGGACGTCAGACGTAAGTGTCCCGATCCTGCGCCGTACGGGAAGAGCCGCTGTTCTGTGGGGCAAGGATAAAACAGAAGTTACTACCATTCTCAGCTGAAATTCTATAAATTAAAGGTTCTTATTTCTAACATTATGAACATGCCCGTAGCCATGGATTTTAAATGGGGTGGGGTTAGGGGACTTCAAGGCGCGAGGTTCCTAGGGGGGACCGGGTCAAAGACACCTCTAGCATAGTTGTACAGAATAATTAAGTAAAAAGTTATTAAATTAAAAAGTATTAAGTAGTCATAATCATGATGACTCAATCTAATTACATAAATATTATTGAATCAGATGCAAAGATAAAACCCTGGACAAATCTGAATTGAATAACGGGTACAAAATTGTTACCAACTGATCCAACCTCATAGTGCAGATCTACATGTAAAATTTATGTAAACCCCATGTCTGATCTACCTTCAGTGCAAAGTTCTCTCAAACAAACAAACAAACAAAAACCAATGGACCGTTCCAGATCAAACGCATCGAACCCTATTTCGAATCCCTGTTCTATTTCGAACACCTCCGTCAAACTCAGCGCGGGAAATCTAAAAGCAGCAAACTGAATTGATGTCTGCTTGATAAAAACTGCTTGTTCTACATGTGAAACTGAATTTGTGACATTGCATGCACTTTCAAGTTGATTAAGAATGTTCTGTTATTCTTCCATTTGTTCATAAGCGATTATAGTTTTATTTGCGTGCTTATTTTTCTACTTGTACCACAAATCCCTTTAAAAGTTGCGCCCTCCCTCGTGAGTCCCCGTGAGTTTTTACTTCCCATTTCGTTTTTTTCCCGAGCTTGTATGCAGCTGTGATGCATGCAGCAAATGCCATGGAAAACCTGTTACAGATAAACGTACTCTGTTTCACACATGTATCGGCTGTTAGTCAGCAACCGGGCACTCTTGTCCACCTACCGTGTGATATTATGCGGCCAATTCCGCGTCTGTATTGAGCGAAAACATTTTGATCTCATTAAAACTACCTCTGTCCCCTCCTAAAATAATTGTATTCTGCGGATGTACCGTTCAACAAATATAGCTTAACCAATTTTTTCGTCTCCTGGGAGTTTTTCACTGCCGAAAAATCGACCATAAAGTTGAGCTGCAAATCCGACATTCTGGCGGCGGCAGTCGGTACGGCCCTTCCTGCGCTGATTTTGACGGAGGTGTTTGAGTTGCTAGGGCGTTGCTAAGGGGGGCGTGGCTTATGGAACGGTCCATTGAGTCCTCTCACCTTTGCATGCACTTGCAAAGGAAGTCAGTTCCTCTGTGTGAATTACTGCTATACCCAACAATAATAATTGTAACCACACACAAACAAAAACAAAGTAAGTTCTCTCACCCTTGCACTCCCCGGAAAAGCCAGTTCCCTTGAGTGAAAATTGCTGTACACAACATTTGTAACCACAAACAAACAAACAAACAAACAAAGTTCTCTGACCTTTGCACTCCCCAGAAAAGCCAGTTCCCTTGAGTGAAAATTGCTGTACAGAACATTTGTAACCACAAACAAACAAATAAACAAAGTTCTCTGACCTTTGCACTCCCCAGGAAATCCAGTCCCCCTGTGTGAAACACTGCTGTACCCAGTCTGACACTGACAGGTGTAGGAGCCGATCTCATTCACACAGTCTGCATGGTCATCACACATGTATGCTCCCACCCTGCACTCATCAACATCTGGGAACAGAGGGTATGAGATTTGGTTAGAAGAGACTTTAGGTGAAGTTAACATCATGCATTCGGAGCAGTTATAGTAAAAAAGCAAACCTGTAGAAAAGAACTTTACAATGCACTGTCACAAAAAAATAAAATCTACATTCTTTTAGCACAGAATTTTTCAACCAGCATACCGGTAACTGCCCTTCTGTATCATAAATTTTAACTGTTACCAGTAAGGCTGGTTATACTATATCAAACCTAAAAAATTTGCATATCTAACTCAAAGTGCTGTTTGAATCTATCTAGTGCAGGAGTGACCCTAATAGATAAATTCAACTTCATTCTAGAAGGTAATAACCCTTACTGTGATCAGATAGGCAATTAAATTTTGTGTATTGATTAAAAGAATATTTAGACCTTAGAGCAAGTAAGTATATATTTAAGTAACCATAACATTAGTCTTGTAGGTAGGTCCATTCTTTTGTACCCATGTATCTGTCTTTATGTCCTACCTGGGCCGCGATTACGTTCGATACGGGTGTTCCGAACCATGTGATAACTAGCGGTACGACCCGGGGGTTCTTAACGCGTACGGCCCGGCCCTTCCAAATGTTCCATAGAACGATTCGAACGCGTTTCGCCCTAACCGCGTGCACCGCTTTCGAAAATTCGAATGCAAAATTCGGACGTTGGAATTGATGTTGTTGCGTTTTTTAGGATCAGGGACACTGAATTTTTGCTCATTTCGCATTGAAAGGCGTGTTTTCGTGGGTGGGTATGACATAAATAAAATACAACACGGTGTATTCCGCATCACTCTCGATCCCAGCCTGTCGCGCGTCGGATCGCCCGACGGCCGAAGGGCGATACGGAATACACCGTGTTGTATTCTATATGTATGTCCATATGTAGTTATAGACCGTACAAAAGTCACTGTACTGTTGCTGTGTCAATTAAGATCTCTCTAAAAGATACATGTAGGTTTCTCTCTACATTTAGTTCTTAAATAAAGGACAAATTTGGACCATTCCCCACCTTCACACTCCCCTACAGTCCCAGTGCCTGTGTACCCAGGTTTACAGGCGCAGGTGAAACCACCGCGGGTGTCTGTACAGGTGGCCAGCTGTCGGTCACAGTTGTTGGTTCCTGTCCTGCACTCATTGATGTCTGTTAGTGGAAAAAAATTGGTTTGATGATATCAGTCCACAGGAATTGATTTGCGGGTCCTGCCCAGCTCTTTCCTCATATAGAATATTAGTCTTACATGTTGATTACCTGGGCCACGATTAATGTTCAATGCAAGAAGGTGTTCTGGCCTGTGTGATATCTAGCTTTACAGCCGGGGTTCATATATCATATATGATTTTTATACGGACCTCCAAATGTTCCACAGCATAATTTTAACACACTCAGCTTTAAAAAATTTGAATACCGGATTCCAACTGTTGTTTGTAGTTTCATTTTTTTTTGTTTGATAAAAAATGAAACAACAACAGTTGGAATTTTAAAAGGCGTGTTTCTTGATTGGGCATGACATGAATAAAATGATCTTCAAGTTGGTAGTATTCCGCATCATCCTCTGTCCCAGCCCTCCCACAGGTGGAATTTCCCCAGCCTTGGGGGAATCCAACTTGCTATCAGGCCGGTGCCTCGGGTGATACAGAATACACCATGTTTTAACAATATGATTTTTTTACTAAGGCCACACCAATTTAATTTCTTGGTTAACGGATTCGCCCACTTCATTTTTTTCTAATTTGCAAATAAAAATAAAAATTCAGAATCAACTGCAAAATGCTCATATTTTGCCCTGAACAGTTGAGAACAGTCCTTTTTTCCTGGCTGTTACAGTTACATCTTTCAATGCAGTGGTATCATTAAAAGTTCAAAATTCATTGTTTAGATTTTGAACCAGCCTGGTGTGTTGACTTCATGGCTCCTATTGTACCATTTTGGGCCATAATGGATGCCTAGGCCTG